ATTAATGAAATATAATGTAAATCTTACTTGAGGCTCATTTATCACACGATTGAGATTGGATGTTCTAATATTTAAAATGTTAAAACGTTTTAATTTTTATTTTTTTGAAATAAATGTCTTTTTTAAAATTTTTTTAAAGATTAAGATATGAGAATAATTAATATGTTTAAAAAATAGTATTCTTAAAATAAATAAGGATAATTTTTCTTGAAAAAATAATTAACTAAAATAAATATCTAATAATAAGATTAAAACTAAAAAATATTTTTTTAAACAAATAATTAATTCTAGATATGTTCAAAAGAAAAAAAATAATTATTTTAAAATGAAGAGTGAATTAAATTAAGAAAACGAAAAATCAAGATGTGGCAAAAAAAAAAAAAAAAAATTGCCACTACATCCCAAATAGGGTGCGTGTCATTTGTCTTTCTCAATTTCTCCATTCTTCTTGCCATAAACTCTGCCTATGCAGAACACACTCTCTTCCTTCTCTCCCAATCAAAGCACAGGCATGCCAAAATCCTTCTCCTCCTCTCGCAATGAATGAGCAAGGGCTCTTTCTAATTCTTCCTCTATGGCAATTCCATCATGTTTGGGACGAACATAACAAATGCAAGGAAACAAAATTCCACTAACGTGAAAAGACACAAAATTAGTTATGAACTCGAACCATCATTATTAATCCATCTTTGAGAAAGGCAAAGAGAGTAAAGAAAAGAAAAAAAAAATGGAATCATACCCAGACGAACACAGAGGAGACCCCAAAAAAACACAGAGGGTAGGAAAAAACATAATGGAACCATACTCATTCGGAAAAGCATCCAAATTCGACAGCAATCAAGTATGGAATAGAACATTATGCACTCGCTTTAACGTAACAAAAGATTTAAAACAATTGTGGAGAAATTACAGAAGAACTCATTTTATTTTTAAAAATCGGGGCAAATTGGGGGAGACAAATTGAGAAAAATACGGATTTCCTGTGGAAGGAATGGGGCAAATTATATGAGACAAATGAAGCAGGACGTCTTTGCAAATTTTTTGCCAGAGCATCCTATTTTCTGTTTTCCCTTTTTTTTTTTTTTTTTTTGGCAATTCAGTTGCAAATTTGGCGTTTAAGCCCAATATGAGAGAAAATGTGTAGGAAATGGTATAGATTTTGTCCTTTTTATTTATTTAAGTATACTAATATTTTTGATATTTAAATTGAAGGGTAAACTTTCATG